AACTTGTAATACCTTTGTTAGACATTATATATATTAGATTTATATAGTAAATTTAATTGATAACCATTAGTATTACCAAGCATTGTCGTTTTTACTTATTAACAAATTTGGATATGCAACATGTGGAAAAATCTAACCGAAATAATTATACCTTTCTGCAGGAGAATCTTTTGTCCATGCTTTCGACTTCCTTGACTAGTTTTTAAATATGACAATTTCACTTACCCAGCGAAAAGGAAATTACCCCTTTAAAAATACTGTAAATGCTGTAAACATGAAAAAAAAAAAAAAGTTCGCGACTGTACGCGTATTGTTTTTTTTTTTGTTATTTTTTTAAGAAAAAAAAATTTATACAATAATTTATACAATAATTAATTAAAGTAATTAAAGTAATTCTTAAAGTAGTTTTTTAAAATGTAATTCTTAAGTATTAATGGTAAGACGTTATCTTGTATTCTTACCAATATTTTATTACTATTTTATTACTATTTACACAATACGTCTACTAAATGGTTTATATTAAATTTTGTACTACCCACCTACTTACCACTGCTAATTACAAGAAATTTATTGTTCGTGTATTTGAGGGAATATTGAGGAAATATTGAGGAAAAAAAAAAAAAAAAAAAACTACAATTGAACTTTGAATTACTAATCGTAAAGAAATTAGAAATGTAAAACTTATTTTTTTTTTTAAAAAAAAAAATATTGAATATGCTAAAAATTTGGATTACCCCAACAAAAAGGAAAAAAAAAAAAAAAAAAAAATCAAATGTATTTTTAATTATGAATCCATCCAGCTTGTGAAAAGAATTCCCAAAGTTTACAAGCTTTATTCACGTCTATTCTAACCAATCTCTGCGCGTCTACTTTTCTAAATGGAATGGACCTTTCTTTATATTCTTTTGCAGCTGTAAGAATAATCAGCTTAGAATTGATATATTGTTCAGGTGATAATCTTAAAATTCCACAAGCTTTCGCTTCAACTCTATGTAAAACGCTTGCATGAGGTAATATATCAACATTTGACTCAGGACCCCTCCATGTAATTTTTGGACGCTCGATTGTGTCTAAAATTTTATTACTAAGTTCTAAATCTTCCAAGTTACTCATCAATTCATCAAACGGTAAAGGAGGAGGAGGTGGTTGAGTTTTATCAATTTTTGTATCCCAAACGGATTGTAATCTTCTGTAACCATTTCGTCTATATTGTGGTCTATCTAAAAGAGCTTTTGGATTTTTCTTGTAAATATCGTATACATTGATTCTTAGACACATTGTGTCTTCAGTTGTTTCCCTATCTGGTGAACGAACCGGATATGGATTTTTACGAAGTTTTTTACGTAAATTTGATCTATTTAACTTTGGAGAAGGTAATGGTGAACAATGATCATCGATTAACTGTGTTGTAGTTGAGAATGGTGTACCAGGCGTGCTAGGTAAAAACCTTGTAGGTGAACCCGATGCTTCAGAACTAGGAGGAGTGATTAATTGCATGATTTCTGGTGGAACTTCAGAGAGACGCCAACGACTTTTTCGTATGGTTTTGAAATTTATCAATGGAGTTTCTCCATTTTCACTTGGTGTCATTGGGAAATAATTTGTTTCAGTATCTATAATTATTTAAAAAATAGAATAGAATAAAATGATTAAATTTATTAATTCTATTAAATTTAATATAAAAAAGCATCATTTTTTTTTTTTTTATTATCTTGATTAAAAAAAATTTTTGAAAGATGAATTTTTTTAAATAATAATTTTTTTTTTCCTAAACGAATTGATGAATAAAATTTATTAGATTATTGAATATTACCTTCAAAGCTACTACAATTGCTCAACATAGAAAATTTTTGAAGCGGTGTTAAATTCATAATTAATAAGAATTTTAATGAATCTTTTTTAAAAAAGGAAAAAGAAAAAAAAAAAATTTAACGTCGGATGAGATCTTAAGAAGATTAGAAATTTGAAAGTGGGGATTAACCGTAACCCTTTTTATTGTTTGTAAAATTTGGAGGGGTTAATGATCTCCTGTTGGTGTCACGAAAACGATTGTTGCAAAAACCAACAAAAAAAGGTTGTTTCCAGATGGCAAATTACTTGCTTTTTTATATACAATACAGATTACAGGAAAATCAAACTTTTTTTAATTTATAATATATTGTTACGTAAATACCATGCTACATAACTTACACATTTACAAACTCATCATGTGCGACATCACTATTTTGATGGACAAACTTTGAATTTTGATTAGTGTTTATTTCGGAATTTATAATGACGTATACATTCAGAAGTTTCTTTTTCCCGCATATTGATATCGATATCGATACTACTTGTACTATATCGATACGTTTTAATAAACCATTTCACGTGATATAAGTCTTAACCTTCTATATAAGATAAATAAATATATGCGCTATTAGTTTATTAGTTGATAACTCTCTTGGGTTAGGATAACTCGATAACTTTCTTAGACTAGAATAATTCGATAACTTTCTTAGACTAGAATAATTCGATAATTCTCTTGGGTTAGACATTTTTCACTTGTCAATTCCATTATCGTCATGATTCGATAAACTAATTTAACATGAAAACTTTTGAATACTTTGACGACTCTCATGAAAAAGCTATTTAAAAGAGTCCGAATATATATATATATATTATCACGAAAAATGTGTACGCACGTATCACTATGAACTGCAACTCTTATTTTTTCTGCCAACATAATTATAATTATTAAATTTAAACCGGTGAAAACATAAGTACGTACATATTTATTATATATGCAGAATGAATAATGATAATGCTCATGCTCGAGGATAACTTTAAAACTTGGTACATACCTTTTTATTTCTTTCGCTCAATGCGAATTCTTTTTCATGAATTCTTTTTTAGATATAAATAATAAAACGATCGTCATATTTAATATATTTAATTAAAAAAAAGTCATAACAAATTTTTTAACCTTTACACAATTAGTCATTTACGATCAAATATAAAATTAGACACCAAATTTATATGATGATCCTAGATTTCCTAAATTCATTAAGTACAGACATAAATTTTTTGTAATTGGTTGCGACATTGTTACGGTAACTATGTAATTATTACCTCATTGCAATAACGATAATCATTGACAACTAATTCAACCTTTGCTTTGTGTATAACAATTCATATAATGTTGAAATTACTACTTCTTTAGTTAGAATAATTTCGTTGGTCGAGTATATTCAAACGTTGAAATAACCTTGAGTCTTGAAATCGAAAGGTCGTTGCATTCAATGAATTCATTCAAATTAATTCAAATTAATTTGTTTTTTATGTCGATATTCAAAGTACATATAATTTGCTTTACTGCGCCATTTCCATTAAAGCATTCGGGTTTCCCGCCAAATTTTATTTTAACAATTATATATCGATATGGTTCTAATTTAGTTATGATGTGCCAATTTTCCACACGTTGTTGGTTCCCTAACATTATTTTCCGAAGATGCATGCACACAACCCACGACCCATTATTTGTTCCAAAAAAATCCATCCACGTGATATTCGGTGAGATTGGCCAATCAACCTTCGTGTTCGATATCTGTTTCGTTTGATAATTAATAAAGTTGTGTGTAAAATTAATAATAATTTATATAATTAGGGTTTGATTTTTTACGTTACACCTGATTCGAATTTTTGATTGGTCAATAGATATTACAGGGGTACTAGCTAGCACTAGGGTTAACCAAGTGATTTTCAATTGTGTGGTTGATTTCCTTTTTCGTTTTTGAATGAAAGTCTTTGTTGGTTACACGACTATATGTTACAAAAAAAAACCATAGCTTTGTTTTATTTCACATTATTTTTGTCCATTTGCAGAAAAGGAGGAACGGTATTTTTTATGTGAGATTAAAATTCAAATCTTTATGTTTCTTCCAATTCATGTTTCTAACTTTTTTATTAATTTCTTTTTGAACAAATTTCGGTTTTTCCGAAACACATTGACATTGAATCATTCAACCTCTTCTTTTTTTTACGTGAGCACATGGTATACGTATCCATTCAGGATTCCGTTATTGTTTGTGGCTTTAATTATAGAGGCTTGGTCAATTTCATCCAAGTACGTATGTACGTATGTACGTACATACGCAGCATTTCTTTTTTGCCAAGTATATATTTAATATTTATAACGTTAAATATTTATAATGTAAGACTGGTCAAAACTACATATGCAATCTCAATTAATGAGCATCAATTATTATTATTATTATTATTATTATTATTATTATCATTATTATTTTATTATTGTAATTAGATTGTGATTCTAGGAGAAAAAATAACATTCGTGGCAGTTAATCAATACCGTAATTCGCGGTAAATAATACCCCCTCGGGTCTCTTACATTCCTAAGCCTTAAAAAATTTGACTAGTACCCCTGGGGTCGGCAATTTACGATGGGTGGGTAACAAAGGGGTACATTTGCCGCAAATTATTATTCATTAGCCAATAACCAAGTTTTGATCTTATCATGTGCTTATAACTAATATACTAGCACTAGTGTTACATGGTTAGACGTCATCCAAAACTAGTAATTCAAAGAAACCTCCATTACAATATAAATTTCGCTTTTGGTTTGATTGGTCTGCATGCAATTGAGTTAAGAAACATGAGATTCTACGTATTCTAAAACTTTTCATTAAATGTGAAATTTAACAATGATAAAAAACATTTTTTTCAATGTCTCATAGAATTATAATTAATTATGATTCTGGATAATAAAATTTCGAATTGAATTACCTTCTAATTTAATTATATAAAGTTATTATATATATGTTTTTTGAAAAAAAAATTCTTTCTATTCGGATGAGATCTTGTGTGGCTTGGGTCTCTTACATTCAATTTTTAAACCTTATAAATAGTCCCTGAGTCTACTACGTATAATTAAGTCGGTACGCAGTTTATTTGAAACAAATAAGATTTCATGGTTCGCACTCGGGTATCCTGCGTACTACATAATGGGTCTAGCTCAAACCGGGCACAGCTACAAATTTCACTTATGGCATAAGTAGCATTTTTGTCTCTAATGTCCGATAGGATAAGCCTGATGTAATACGTAATATATTCTCATGCTTACTATTTCAGTATTTTCGTGTACATAAAAATACATACGGTGTAAAAAAAATCTAAACTCCTTATAAAGTATAAATAATACCACATATTTCTTAAATTATCGACTTCAATGAAGTATTTATGTACACATTTCATCGATGTTAATAATTTAGGAAATACTTTTACGTATCGATATCGATATCGATATATGCTACTTGTGTTTATACTTTATAAGGTGATTTATAAGGTGATTGTGGCTTTTAGATTTACACACATACACACATACAACATATACAACATATAACATACAACATACAATATATAAATATATATATATATACATGAAATTTATCTTTTTCCCACTGTGCAATTTTTTTTTTTTTAAAAAAAAAAAAAAAAATTCTTAATATCTCATAATAATGAATAATAAATATAAAGAAGCACTCGCTGATTTAAATAAATCCTTAGAAACTGATCCAGATAAAGCACAATCACTTAGAACAAGAGGCGATATATATAGAATATTGAATAAATGTGAAGATGCTATTAAGGATTTAAATAAATCTTTGGAAATTGAACCTAATAATGTATATGCTTTAAGAGTTCGTGGTAGTGTTTATACAAAATTGAAAAATTTTGATGATGCTTTTAAAGATTTAAATAAAGCCTTAGAACTTGATCCTGTCAATTCTTATGCTTTAGGTGTTCGTGCTGAAGTTTATACAAAATTAAGAAAATTTGATGATGCTCTTAATGATTCAAATAAAGCTTTAGAAATCGATCCTGATAATTCTTATGTATTAGGTGTTCGTGGTGAAATTTATTTAAAGTTGAAAAATTATGACAAAGCTCTTGAAGATTTAAATAAATCTTTAAAATTTGATCCTGATAATTCTTATGTGTTAAGTGTTCGTGGTGAAGTTTATTTAAAGTTGGATAATTATGATGAAGCCTTTAAAAATCTTGATAAAGCTTTAGAAATTGATCAAAACAATTCTTATGCTTTAGGTGTTCGTGGTGAAGTTTATTATATGATAGAAAATTATGATGAAGTATTTAAAAATTTTAATAAAGCTTTAGAAATTGATCCGGAAAATTCTTACGTATTAGGTATTCGTGGTGAGGTTCATAGATACAGGATGGAATTCGATGATGCTTTTAAATATTTAAATAAATCAATAGAAGTCGATCCTGATAATGCTAAAGCCTTGAGGTCTCGTGGTGCTACTTATCAATATCTAAAGAAATATAAAGAATCAATAGCTGATTTTGAAAGATCATTAAAAATTGAAAATCATGTATTTGCATTAAGAAGTCGTGGTAGTTCTTATTTTTCATTGGGTGAACATGAAAATGCTCTTAAAGATTTGAATGATGCATTACAACTCCATCCAAATAATAGAAATGCATTAGAAGATCGTTGTGATGTTTATCTATCAATGAAGAATTATGATGAAGCTATTGCTGATTCAAATAGATTATTAGAACTCGATCCAAATAATAATCATTATCTAGAAATTCGTGGTGATATATTTAGAATGTGGGGTAAATATGATGAATCGCTTAAGGATTTCAGTACTATACTAGAAAGAGATCCAAAAAATACTTATGCTTTGGCAATCCGAGGTAGAGTCTACGGAATATTAGACAAATATAAAGATGCTCTTAATGATTTAGACAATTTATTAGACTTAGATCCGGATAATACATGGGCATTGACAACTCGTGGTGATGTTTACAGAAGGCAATGGAAATATAATGATGCACTTATTGATTTAGACAAATCATTAAAGCTCGATCCAAGTAATTCATTTGCTTGGAGAATTCGAGGGATGACATATTATTCATTAAACAAACATATAAATGCAATTATGGATTTGGATAAATCATTAAAATTGGAAAATGATTATGAATTCAAACTCAAAATGTTAAGAATTTATCATCAAATTGGTTTACATTTATAATGAGATTATAATGAAGATAAAAAGTTTACATGGATTTTTTTGAAGACTTGATTATTTATTTGATTCTATAAAAAAATTTCATAATTAGTAAAAATATTACATTCTAAATTTTATATATTAATTATTATTAGGAATTATAATAAATATGTTGTATACTTTTCAATAAAGTTAAAGTCATGACCTCACCTTTAATATTTAATATATATATATGTTGTATACTCTATTACGTATAACGTGATACTTAAAAATTATACTATACATTATTTTTTTTATAACTAACAAAAATAATCTATTCGTCGCTAGTAGCAATTATGATGGATCGGTCTTCGTAAAGACCGGGCTGAACTGTAACGGACCGAGGACCGAATGATTTTTGGTTCTCGGTCCCTAATAGTCCCGATTCAAATAATGGTCATATAGTAGCTAATAACGATAAGAACATGATGAATTAATATTCTTTTCAACAATAAGCGATAATAAAGATCTTGTTTACCTTCATTTTTCAATGTCTTACAAAATATTGAACCAATTTATCCTCTTCTTTTATTTTATTTATTTTATCTAGTTAGTTTTACTATCTTCAAAGTTTTTTTAAAAAACTTTTACATTATTAACAAATTCACTATCAAGTAATCTATAAAATAAATTAAAAAATATTTAATATTACTATTGAAAGATAATTTAATTCATAGTATAAGGAAAAATGCAAAAATATTACTTTATTTTAAGTTTATATAAGCTATTAGTATGGTTTTAAAATAAATATTTTTTATAATTGATTTTATATGTATCAAAAAAGTCAACTTAACCAAAAAAATTATTTTAAATAAATAAAAAACTAATATAATTGTTTTGTTATATATTTTAGAAAATATAAAACTACTATAGTTGTTTTATTATATTAATTAATAATTTGAGAATGGTGATTTTAGTCTAATAATTGGGTTGTTATTCTTCAAACAGTAGATTCTAAGTTCAAATTTCACTGGCAGTAGAATGATCCTATTTTGGCAACTTAATTAAGATATCTGAAATTATAACTTTGTAATTCTAGTTATATTAAAACTAACTTTGAAACTATATAATATTATACAAATAAATTTAAAAATTATATACTCTATAAGAAGTTTTTTTAAAAAATTCTAAGTTGTATAATATTTAACAATAACATTTGTAAAAATCTTAATCTGAAGAAAAAAATCTAAAGCAGGTAATTTGTATAGACAAAAACTTTAGATAAAAAGGTTTACCAACCTAACTATTAGTTAAACTGAATATGAAATTACATTATGCAAAGCTAACTAGATTGGTAGTATAAGAAAACTTGCAAAATAGTAATAAGGTTGTAAAAAGAAATACTAAGATTATATAAACTCTATAAAAATATAGTAGTTTAAAAGTTATCTTAATTATAAGTGTTGATCTTGACTATAGTAATATCAGATTAACTAGAAATTAAATAACAAAAAGTTTTGGTAAATTTAATACAAGGTCAAAAGTTTCTTAAATAAGTAAACCATTTTAAAAATCTAATAATTATAATATATTTGTATTAGTTAAAACTGAAGCAGTTAGTAGAATAGATAGGTAAATAGAAATAAGAACTAAAGTGCTTAAATAAAGGATTTACAAGCAGATTCTAAATATGATATTAGTATAGAACCTTCAAGCAAACTACTTAAATTAAATAATAACTGAAGTTGTATAAGTAGCTAATTGTATATTCTTTCTATAGTTACTTTCTGTAACTGTTGTAATACAATTACAAAACTGAAACATACTATCAATAAAGTCTAAGTTGCAAGTACTTATCTTTAATATTAAAAAAAAATAATTATAATAACTAATATTAATATATTAATAAAAATATTATTATGAAATATAACTTTTAACAATAAAAAAAACTTTATTATAATTTTTTTTAAAAAATATTAATAAACTTTTATATAATAAAAAATTTAAAATTTTTATTATTAAATTTTTTTTAAAATTTTATATTTTATATAAATCTAATAAAAATTACTATCTTTTATATAAATCAGAAAAGTATATAATAATTAATTTTTTAATAGTTTTATTATAATAGTTTTACAAGTTGTTAGGTTTTTCAAATTGTAGTTAAGTAAACATAATTTCTTTAAGATATAAAATAAAGTTTTCAATTTTCTTAAATATTAATTTTGTTAACAGTTTAGTTTTATTAAAAAAATTTAGTAAATTGACAATTATATAAAAGAAAAAATTGGTTAAACTATTGTTTAACATAGTTTAATAAATGTTTAAAAAATAAAATATTTAATTTTTAAAAAAAAAAATTTTTAAAAATATTAAATTTAAGATAAATATTAAATTTGCTATCTGATTTAATTGTAAAATATTGTTTATTTTGATTAAAATTAGTTACTTTAATAAAATTATAAATCCTTTTAGTTAAAGCTAAAAGGCTTTAACAAATTATATATAATTAATTGTCTGATAGTTATTTAAAAAATATAAATAAATATATGCAAGCTTAATACAAAATTAAAATCTGTTTTAATTTATAAGATAAAATAATTGCAAATAAAACAAAAATTTTTAAATAAACTAATTATTACAAAAAAACTCTTTTTTGTAAATCATTTTTTATATAATAAACAAATATCAAATTGCAACTAGATACAATTAGAATATTATAATTAAATAATTAAAAATAACTTACAACAAATATAATTGACAAAACTACCAAAGATTAAACAAAGCAAAGAAACAGCTTTCTGCTCTTTTGTCCTTTTCATAACCTTGTTGCTAACTATATTAGCAACTAAAGTAAACAACAATAGTAATAAAAAGAATACTAACAAAATACATATAGCTAAAACTTATAGAAAAAACATGATCTGCTTATATATATACTAATAATAGCAACACAATAAATAAACAAAATAAAGAAAAAAAATGAAAAACTAATTATAATACTACTATTCTAGTCCAAACAAATACTAGAAAAAATATTACAGAAAAAAAAGAAAATTCTAGTTTAACACTGAATTCTCAAGATATAATATTATTAGTAAAGATGAAAACAACAACAAATTCAATTCCAGATTTACATTAACAATAGAAAAAAATATTTCTATAAATTTACAAAATAGCTAGAGCCTGATCTAAGTTCTTATTACAACTAACATAATTCTTTTTACACAAGAACAAAATATAAATATAAACAAACTAATTTAGCCAAAACTAGCCTCTAAACCTAGTACATATGCAAATGATAATACAAACAAACAAATACCAGATATGAAAACAGACCAAAACATAATAAATATAGATAATAAAAAAGAAAAAACATATTTAACAGACACAATATTAAAGGAACAAACATAAAAAAAGATATTATACAACTAGGTAGTTATTAAAAATCTTCTAGAAAGAAACAAAAAAACTCCAAACAGCTTTAACAATAATAAAGAAAAAGAGTAGTATAAGCATATACAGTTAGCCTTAAAAAAAATTAAACAAGATAAATTAAAGCCTTTCAACATAACAACTTGAACTCAACTAAAAATCAAAGATGTACTAATCTCTTATAATAACATCAAAGAACTAATTTTTTTTTTCCTTCACTTGAGCAGTCCTGCTGGTTACCTTTATTATATATTTTTGTATTACATATATACAATAGTTCATAAATTTTGACCCAACATCCTGCAGGTGCTTCTATGAGTCCCTACGAGCGATCTGCCTGCACTGACTGTCTAACTTTAAAAGAAATTAGAGTACATCAGGAGCTGCATCTGACCACCACTCTACAATAAGATATTGCCAATCTAATAACATCTTCTTGTAGAGAAATGAACAAAAACAAAAAAACTTATATACTAGAAAAACAGAAACTGTTGTAAGTCTGAAGCAAAAATTAATTTGTAACAGCCAATCAAACATTTTAATTTTATATTAATTAATCATGTAGTCAGACAGACAGACAATGATCTGTGTGACAGACACCAAATTTTGCTAATGGCCTCTAGTATATATGACAATTATGTAATATATGTATTCCTGAAAATGTAAGTCCTTTGCTACGCTCCAGACAAAAAAAAAACACAGAGGTATAGGGGTAAATGATAAAAGATACAAATGCAAGAAATAAAAGAGGGAAAGAGAAAAAGTGAAAAAAAAGAAAAGATATATGTGACTCTCACCATATAACTATCAGATGGTCACAATTATAAGCCTGTATTAAGCTTTTAAAAATTATAAACTATACTAAATAGAAATAACTCTACTATTTTTCTATCTACTAGAATATTTAACAAAAAATCATATAAGATAAAACTTTGACTTAAATATAGAAAGTCAGCATGAGGTACTGGTTAGTCTGAAGACAGTATTTTATAGGGTTTCAGCGGTTTGAGACATGTGTATGAGTTGTGTTTGTATTGCTGTATTGTTTACACAATCCCAATTAGGAAATAAATACTGCTGACTGTTTTGGTGTTTTATATATCGATCTTTTGGAAGGAGTAAACTGAATTGCTTACTTTTTACAAAATTTTTCTCGAAAAAAAAGAAAAGGCATGAGGTAAACCAAACTATAGCTTTTGTGAGTGCTTAACCCTTCTGGAAGTTCCTTGTAAGTTTTACAGTTATATAGAACTAATATATCTAATATTGTTGTTTACTTTATGAGAGACTTTTAGCTTTCACCAACCACTTCTTCTATAGTTCCAGAGCTTCTTTAAACCATCATCACAAAGTGATAGCTTCTTTTTCAACTCTATTTCAATGCCCACTATGCATACCTAGTGCTCTAGAGAAGTTTTTATAAAGTTTAATATATTAACTATATTATTTTTCTATAATTCGGCATTTTAAAAAATTTGGTCCAGATGATTGTTGGAAAGAGTTTTTTTTCAATGATCAAAGAACTAATTAGATACAAACTTCTTACAAAACTAACTACAAATTATATTCCAAAAGCAATCGCAACAAAATTGTTTCATAGAGATATTGCA